GTCTTCTTATATTTTACTGACGTTCACGTGGGCGTATAAATAGTACTTACATATAGGCTTATTATTGTCTCAAGCTATCTTTATAAAAGATTTGTTAAGTATATGTAATATATTAGTTATTATTAAAACAACTACTTATGTTATTGCTCTGTAAAAAGAGAAACAACATTAAAAGCTATTGCTTCAATATTTTCCTATTATTTTAAGAATAAATAGTAAAACGTGTTCACCAAAAGTTTTCACACACAATCATAGAGTAGTACCTACAGGCTTGTTGTCCACAGATAGCATAGCATATGAATCAAATACGCGGGAAATTCAAATTTAAACGAAGAACAGAGCTTCATTATACATCTTTAATATAGGTTCAGTATTTTGAATTTGTAACCTTATTTGTAATGTAGTTGTATAAAATCGTTTGTTCAATCTTTCTATTTAATTAGTTATTGTTTCTAACAAGAGTAGATAACTTTCTCTCTAGTGAGCGTCTCTAACAATTTCCTGTAAACTTTAAGTGTAAAACTGAAGCCTAATTAGAACATAAACATATGATAACTTTACTCCTGTCTACTCCCTGATGAAATAAGCAGTGGTTACATAATATATTATGATTTCTTAATGTGTATGTTTTGGTTGTTATTGTTTAATACGTTCCTTTACGGAATTAGGACTAATAAGAATTCTTTTCTTATCAGTCCTATTTCTAATTCCGTAATCCGTGGGTGTGGGACTGTTGACAACACAGTTAGCTAACCGAAAATGTATAAATCGCAAATAACAATGTGTCTGACCGGAGAACCTTAACATATGTATGGCCTCTCCCAGTGGGATAAAAAGTAAACATAACGTATTAATTCAAATGAGTATACACCCTTATTAGCATTGTAATCATAACATTAATTTTCATGTTACTTGTCCGAAAGGGTTTTCTTTGTCCCGTATGTTTATGAAGATAATAAAATATACCTTTTCAGTCGCCCAGCCTTTTGACATCGTACAAAAAATCTTATTAATTGGATTCTAAATCAAAGTCAAGATCCCATTGTCGTTTGAACAGATTGACATGTTTATGAGAATTTCAAATTAGTTTTCAACTTCCGAGGCAGGAGTAATGATTTGTTTCTTTGGTTACGTAAGAGAGAAGATTGCTGCTTTGGTTGCAAGACACAAATGACAAATAAGAATTACGTTCGATTCCTGTGTCCCCCTTAAAGGAAGTTAGTCTTATATATTTTCTTACGTATGTCACAACACTGGTATTTTTGTTTGCCGCACTCACACGAGGATTTTCTGCTGTGTCGTGGGTGCGTTTACAGACATACAATTTCAACACACACGTCACTCAGACCATGAACGTGGATAACACAAAGTGTTGCTTCGTGCAGGAATCGAACCCGCTACTCATTGCGTGGCAGCCAGTTGCCCAGCCACCGCGCCAACTGTTCAGTCAACAATTTGCTAGGTGTCTGAAAAATCAAGGCTAATTTATTTACCAATTCCAGTGCAGATCAGTATATAAGTATATAATATAATTTATCAGGCAACCCTAGCTACATACATACAGGCATGTAAAGAGAAACAAAAGTATCATCCATAAACAAAATACAGGATGATTAAAATTACCTACCAACCAACTTGATTTTAATATCGCGTTCATTCATTTGATACAAAATGTGTATTTAATACGATATTGCTCTAAGTATCTGATAAATCAGTTATTTACATTGACGTTTTATATTCACAAGGAAGATTTAACGGTTTATTGAAATTCATTGAGGATTTAAGATTAACCCAACTCGACTTTTAAGCCAGATTAAAGCGTACCTTTTAAAAGGTTAAGTGAGATTTTCAATCTGATACTGAAATAAATATTTGCTTAAAATACGAGTAAATATGTAACTAATATGAATAATATATGTATGAATGAGAGGTTTAAGTATGAAATATACCCTTTCCATATAGCGGCTAGAGTCTTCAGCCCTGTTGGGCCCCATCTATGGTGGTCTGATGGCTCTATGAGGCGCGCGCGTAACGCAACGCGCAGTATGCTTGGGCCGGGTTCTTGTCGGGCGGCGAGTCACCCGTGCCAACCGTCCGCAGGCCCGTGCTTACGGTGCGCGGTGGCCGGAGATCGTCTCGCGATCCCCGACGCCCGGAGTGTTTTTCGCAAAGGCCGGGGCGTGAGGAGGTTCGTTCCCTCACGTGCTCCAGTTTCCCTCGCTCCGTACCATAGTCTGAACCAGAGCCGGATGCGAGAGGTAGCCGTCGCCGATCATATTCCTGAGGACACGGCGGCCTCAGCTCACGCAGGACACACCGCCACCGTATGCTCCGCTGTCTTCCAGGCGATCCTCGCAGTGATGACACCCGGGCGTTTCCCAATCCGAAACAGGAACCTACCGAAACTTCCAGGTCCGGTAACCACCTGCGTCAGGCGGTTGGTGAGGACGCCGTAGCGTCTCTTAAGCCACTCCTCAAAGAGGGGACTTACCGCTGCAATGACAGCGAGCCCAGCCCTCGATTGCAACAGTCGTTGCTGGCATTCCGCCATTAAATCGCGCCGGAGCTCATCCCGCCACGCACTAATCTGGCCCGGGAGCGGAGTTTCGTCCCGGCGACGTGCCTCCGCGCGCAAACAAGACACGCGCGCGAGCACCTTCGCCTCCAGATCCCACGGCGGTAATCCGGCATTTAACTATGGGCTACGTACTTATTAGTACTTATATTTGCTAATAGTTTTGATTGTCGTACCAGGAAATCTACCCTAAAACTATTATTTATAAACTTCACCATTCCATCGAAGATGAAACAAATTGAATTTTACCTTTAACTCGTCGAGTACCGGTTTTGTAGACACAATTATAGAATAATAGGTTGCGGTTACCGGTGACCGCTTGGTGTTTGACAGTTTAATTAATTAATTAGGCTTTATAAAACTATCGTGAGACATACTGAAATAACTAGGAATGACGAGTTACCCACGTAAACATATAGAGGCTGCGCGACATGGCCGAGACCGCACATGCTGCTCATGAGTAAGAGTCCCTCTGTGACTCGTAAGTAGAAGAGCTTTTCTCAACATACTCACGTGAGTAACTGGTAATTTATCTAGGCTGATTTACCCGAGATTGGACCTTATTTGGTGAGCGAAACAGCTTCTTAAGTAAATCCTCTGTCAATTCTAATTACGTACATAGGTATATCGGAACTGAGGTTAGTTACGTCTTTTCATATAACCACAAGGTCAATGTCGAATTTACTCGTAGTTTTGTGGGTGGACGTTTCGTTTAATATTTACAAAATTATACTGACGTCCAAACTCATCCTACGCGTCAATTTAAGTCAACAATATTGAACAATTATTTTGTATTGCGATCTTGTTTTCTTAGACCTTCACGAACCTTTACGAATGTTGATCTTACTCTCTTCGATATAAGTTTACAAAACCAAGATCCAAACTCAACCCATGTGTCATTTATCCATGATTTAACAATTGTTTCAATTTCTAATGGTAATTGGTATTGACAAACATTAACATTTACGCATCGAGTACTCCAAAATTCTAATTTTACCTGTAATCTGTGTAAAATGTATTCGTACTGCTGTGGGCGGGCGAACGACTCGAAGTTCATAGATCACGCTAACTTTCAAACACAACCTACGCATCATTCGTTCGAAAACTAAACAGTCATTCAACACCAGCAGAGTCAGTATTGACGCATTAGTCAATTCCTTGACAAAGTTGCCAAAAGTGAGAACGTAATGTACTTGCTGATTCTAGTTCTAATTTCTGTGTAAAACGTGCGTCAGTGTATGTTTAGTTTTGTGTTAAGTAAGGCTTTATGTCATGAAGGTTGCAAATGTTTCGCTATTGAACAATTAGTAAGTATACTTCACCAAAATTTACACCACGAAAAAATGGCTTGACTATATGCATATAGTCTAACAATTCATTCGTATTCATAATATACACTTATTGTTATGCTCCACAAACTAAGAAAGCGTGCAAAGCCTAAATAAATTATACGTATAATTATGTTATCAACAAATGGAACGGATGTGTATATTTACTGTAACGCCTGAGGCTTGTTGCTGAAGCCCCTTTACCTATGTTTATTTCAGAACATTGTTAACAGGCAGACTGACACAATAACAATGAAATGAAATGAGTTACTAACGTGAGTCAGTAACAGGAAACGTGTTATTGGCACGCTTCGAAGCGACAGACAAACAAACTATCGTTTATAGATTTGCAATTCGAACAGCTTCGCTAATATTAGGCTCAACCCAATATTACGTGAAGTCTAAAGTTTATAGCGTCACTAGATAATACAATTCTGTAAATAGTGCACGGTTTAGTCTGTGTTCTGTCCTTATAACACTATATAGAATGCAGTAGTTTTTATGGTATAAGCCGGTAAACGAGCAGACGGATCATCATCGGCGTCGCCCATGGACACCTGGAACACCCGAGGCCTTACTAGTGCGTTACCGAAGTTTTGGGATTAGGAATTTGAGGATTGTTGGGGATTCAGGAATTCTGGGTGGGTGATAATTGGTGGGGGATAATTGGGCCTCCGGTAACCTCACTCGCACGAGAAAATACAACGCAAGCGTTGTTTCACGTCGTTCTTCTGTGAGGCTGTGGTATCACTCCGGTCGAGCCGGCCCATTTGTGCCGAAGCATGGCTCTCCCACACTTGGATGCAATGAAGCCAGCCAGTAATATTATAAGTTCTGGAAGGTGCTACGTATGTTATAGTAATTTACCCAGGCATTGAACCCGACAGTCAATGCAATAAAGAATTGCAATATGGTACACATTACAATACAAAAATGTGTATTTAACAGTATTTATCATTGTGTGATTTTTAGCATGCAAATGTAATTTGACCAAACTGCATAGAATGTTGTTGAACTTGACACAAGAAATTCGTTAGTTTTGTTACATAACGGATGACATGTTCTATAAATGGAAATCAAACAAAAAACTATGTCCACAAAGCCAACATTTTATTTATTTTGATATTATAATACATTTTGATAACACGACAGTGGTACATCAAACAATTTCCTCAACATTAACTTTCTTTACAAGAAGCTCTGAAACATCAGTAGTCCACTTACTAACGCGTGGATACTGAACGCCATTTTTATATATTAATACAAATATAACGTCAATAAATAAATAGTGTAAAAGTATAATTACGTATCGTTGTATCATACATTGGTTTTTCACTTATTTTTATGGATACAATACATATTTACTAGAGTTTTCTACGCACCGTATTGGAAGCACAGAAATTGTAACGATTCACTTAAACAACACAGTTTTAGTTACATGTAATTATTAAACATTTTGAAGCAAAAGAGTCTCTAATCTGTTTTTTGTTTATAATCCTTAAGTTTACCGTTAATCTTGTTGCCTTTTTTAAAAGCTTTTTATTGAATACTAGGGTGAACCGCAAAAAACAGTATAACAATACAACTACTCTTTATCATACTTTAGAACTGTATCTGACAAAAATGAAAAAGAATATAAATGGTCAAATGATGTTTTATTTATAATTCTGTATTGAAGACACCATCGAAATTATTTACTCGATAAAACAGTTTATTTTTATCAATTATACATTTTAACATGGTTTAAAATATTAGGAATACTTCATAAGATAAATGTGAATTTATATTATTCGTTTTTTAAATCTTTATTCTTCAAATATTGGGCTGTTTTCCTAACAGTTAAATATCCTACGTTGGGAATATAGTTCCGTCAGTTTATATTGAAAAATATAATGTAACAATTTCCATTTCCTAGTTAACATAGTAAACGGATAATGAAATAGCACTTACATACTAGTTCTAACTCGTTATGTGTTGGTATAGGCATATTACGTAAATAACGGCAAAGTTAAGGCACAACTAAGGCAATGTTTGATTAAAATATTCGCACTATGACGAACTATTGACCTTCTGTTTTACGTCAGAGTGACATACAACTTTAGAGTGACTGTTTGTTCTTAACATTTCAGCTTTGTAATTAACCATTATTGCCTATTCATTGAAACTTTATTCCCATTTATCTGCTAGACCATAACGGAAAAAGATAAGTGCTTGGAAGGTAATACGCAGACAGATGAAAAAAGAAAATCTTTAAATCTTCGACAGATCTACATATTTATAAGCATTTAATTCTAAGGTGACTGCCAACATATTATGATATCAAACTATAAATAAAACTCTCCACTGATGTACATTGAAAAGGGCGCCACTGTTACACCCACTGCATTTAGTTTTTTAAACTAAGTTATAATAATATGGCATAAATGTATTGTCCAAATATTAGTTAAAGCTTTCCGATTTATGTATGTACCTATAAAATTTGTTAGTATAGTCTACATAAGCACTAATTACTATTTTATAACTTAGAAGTTTAGTTAACGTTTGTCGCTGACATCAATCAATTAGCAATTAGTACAGATGTGAATGTTTCGTATAATAAATATAATTCAAACAATTTTGTCCTAAGAAATTATTTCTAAAAATTATCGTTGCACTCACAAGTCTTACAACATTCCACTAAATTCAATCTATAGGAACCCATACTTCAGTTCAAGATCTAACAAGTGATCTATAAAGTCGTCGCATGTCGTGTCGTATCCGCAGGACACGCGCGAGTATTAGTACTATCATCAAGTCATGCATTGTTAGAGAAACAACAAGGATACTTTGAAATTAAAGCAAATAATAAACGATGTCAAGCGTTGAAAGAAAACTTGGAAGATTATTAAGAGAATTAAATAAATAGTTGCTTAGAAATAAAGACGGTATCGGACATAATAGAATAAGTTAGACCTAAATACTTTTGTCAATTCATAAATAGACACCTAGCTTATAAATAACAATAAATAAAATCTTAAGGCACGTTTTTAGGTACCAAGATCACAATTTCATCATTTCTAACGTGTGTAAGATGAAGGATTAGAGTTATGGAATGTCTGGTTACAGCTGAATCTCGTACCGAACATACGAACACTGCACTGTTGCAATCAAAACCCTTGATTACACAAATATTACTCTTCGGATTTGCTAAAGAAGTGAATTAATTTTATTCCTAATCTTTATACAGTAACTTAAAATAACATAAGCGCATACATTTAAGTATTTCTGCATTGTGCAGAATAACAATACCGATACAATTTACAAAAAATATTCGTAAGTTAACTAAATAATATGCAAAATTTGCAAAAAGTTTCTTAAATTACTTAATAAATAAATTCCAATGGGGTAAGTAAAGCCCGTTAACGACGAGCATATATAATATTAAACATTTTAATGTTCGCTACCCAAGTATTTACATATCGTAGTCTGTCATACTCACTCTACTATTTACACGATCGATATTTACAACAGTGTCCTTGTGCACGTCCCGCGTGCGGTTTATTCTCACACCGACCACATATTGTCAGCACTCACTCACTGCGCTAGCGATACCTATACGAGGTCGGTAGCACGAAGTCCCCGACCGAGTAGAGAGCGCTCGCGTACCAGTGCACGCCGCGCGGCAGCTCGCTAGAGCTTCTCCACCGCGCCATCCACCGCAGCGGAGCCATCGCCGCGTGCGCCAGCGAGTGGCTCCGGACCAGCGCGTAGCACGACGCCAACGCGTCGTCCACTATGATCGTGCCAGTCCTTGTCAAAGGCGCGTACACTCCGCGCTTCGGCAACATACGGGTCTTTACGACCCTGGACGGCCGCATAACGTCGGCCGGTCCTCTCGTCAGTAGTACGTCCCCGATCTCAACATTGGACGCGAACGACTCCCGCCACCCATCAGCCGCCGCTAGCAGCAGTAGATGCGACGGTGTAGTTGTGATCGTCACACCGTTCTCTGCTGTCACTTCAATGAACTGCCGTGTAGCATTCGGATCGCGGTCGATGAAAGTTAACACCTGTAATAGAATTATGTCATCCTTTGAGAAAGTTATAAATACTGACACATCTGTTAAATTTTTGGCAAATAAATTATTTTAAAAATTGTCTCATGTTAAGGCGAGACCACACAGGAAGAATGTTTAAGTTTAATGAAATGGCTAATCAAATAAACAAATGAATACGCTTACACACCTCAGAATAAATCATTTTGCCGTCGTCTGAGGCCGACAGCACTTTGTCTCCTATTCGTAACGTTGTGATATCGCGAGGGCCCTTCTCTGTGTACACCATAGCACCTTCAGGGAAACAACCTGCACCGGTTCCCACGGAAGACTCTGTAATAGAGAATAGAAAAAATAAGATAAATACTATTTAACTGTTAACAATTATTATTTCAAACTTTTGTAGACACAATACGGCATATTATGCCAACACCCTGTGAACTGAAAGCAATAAAATAAAATTGAGAACATAAAATCGTGCAAGGTACGATAGTAAATTAGCTCGAAGCAGTCATATCCCTTTAAGGAATAACGAGATTTCTCTACGCCCGTAATTAAAATCGGATAAGATACGAAACAAAAGAGAATCGCGGACGGCTCCCACTGTGCCCAGGTTATCGGTAACCAACCACCGCGCTCGAGTTTGTGTTAAACCCGCAGTTGGTATGGGCCGGCTCCAATGTTATTCAGATACCCGTTTACCAAATTTAATAAATGAAGAAATATGTTCCAGGAATTAGGAGCCATAATCTCCTCGACAAACTTTTTAAGCGCTAGATAAGTTAATTCAATCTATTTTTCGAAGTCTTTTCACTCATTGTTTGTTCAAAAAAGCTACTAAAAAAATTAGACAATAACCTGATTCGCAAAACTTTGTTTGTACATTATCTAATAGTATTTATTTAAATCCCTGTCCAGCTTTCACTGTACCTGTACGTAATCTTTTAAATCGTTAAGGTCCTTGGTTGCTTCAGCAAAAAAGTGTCTATTTACGTGCAAGTTAATGGTATCCAAAAGGTAAATAAAAATGGCTTAACTTTAAAACCGAAATAAAAACGTGGCCAGTGGGCACCGCCGCACCGCCACTGTTAGCTCGTTACGTTCTAACAATTACATTAACTGTCTATATTTTTAAGTTAACTTACTGTTACAGTGGGTGGTGCAATTACACGCGCAAATGAGCACGGCTAAAGATTCTCTGCAAAGCCTCCGGTTTGCGCGAACTCGTTAAATTTTGATTTGTTGTGTAACCGACCGATAAATTCAGTCGATCCTTGTTCACGGACTGCTCTCAAAGCCAGGTTTGGAGCGGATCACATTACACAATAACTACACAAATTAGATTTTGCTCAAAGTCAAGCGCTTATTGTCAACATGCGTTTGTTGTCCGGTGAACACATCACACGAGCTATTGAATAGGCGTCGGACACCTTTGCGTTTTTGTACAATTTTGTTGGTGTGGCGCACATTTTTATTTATCTTGTATCTTATTATTATTGTTAAGGGTCTCATTCATAATGCAGTACGGTAAATAGGTATGGTTTCCGACATTTGATGAGATAAATGAATAAATACAATATAATTGTTACTTTGAAATGATTATTGTATATAATATACACGCAGGTACAGAGTGATCTAATTTACAGTGGCTAAGATTTTATCTAAGTTTTAATTCCCAACCTTATTAAGCTTCAAGTTAACGAATCCAAAGCCTTAAAACCAGTCAGAACGCGATTTCATAGTGACGTAAGTAACATTAGGCTGAAGATGCGGCGATAAGCGGCGCGGTTGCGGCGAAGGGGGGAGCGGGGGCTTGTGCGCCGGCGCAGCCGAGTGGCCGCGGAGACCCCGCCCCGCGGGGACCACCGGGAGAGCTAGGCGGCGCGCGCGCCGGGCCCCGCCGTCCAAGCCGCGTCGCGCGTCGGCCGGCCGCGCGTGACCATACATTACCAACTCGATAAAATGTAAGCACGTGACACTATTAATAATTTATCTCGTCGGTACGATGGATGACATGTCCAACCAGCCCAACGTGACGCTTTTTCAGGTTTTCCTGACAGTTACACGATTATGAAATTTTCATTTATCAGAAGTTCGACATCCGATCCACAAGTTGGGACTTCGCGAGATAAAAAGTATTTTTATTAATCGGGTTTCGCCTTTCGCCATAACTTTTATTGTTGAGGCGATGTATGGCTATCGAGATGCTCGCATGTGATCAGTCGAACTATATCTGATTTATATCGTGTAGAATAGCAATTAGCCGACGCGTGGTCATGCAAATGCCAAACCGCGCCGGTTATGATTCATGCGCGGGCCGAAGCGCGTCGTATCTTACAATGTAAAAGAAAATAAATAAATATGGGAACATTTATTTTATCTGTGGTACTAGGTAAGCGTGAGAAAACATTTTAAATTGTGATCAGTTAAAATTTCCAACAAGTTGTCAATATTTTAAACATCTTTTGTAACTGCATCACGCATTATTTGATTTTGTCACGCTGAATTATTTTAAAGCATTATTCAAACATTTGGAATATAAAATAAGCATTCTTATTGAAAGATTCATACAAGTACGTAACAAGAAGATATATCTACATATTTATATGTTTAAACGGCAGGTAGATAAACACATTAAACGTATTAGTCTTTCAATAAATTAATATTTATAAAGCTGCCTCTCGAAAGACTGATCTAGCCAATTCGTAATTCACATGTGTGTCTATTGACGCAGTAGCAAAATGATTTAAACGCCAAGTAAGCGACACTGACTGTGATGCAATATGTAGCGTCTGGGATTGTAATGTGGTACTCAGATCTTAACGTTTGAATTTATTACCAACCAGTACTGAATCGACGACGTTGAGAACCTTTTCTGAGATACATAAAACGAAACTGAGTGCGAAAGTAAAATTGAAATATGATTAATATAAAATTATACGTCGGACTGGTAATATGCGACGGCATGTAAGCTGCACACTATGTCAATGTTAAATTGCAAAATATTGTTAATGGATTAAAAATAAATAACTGGCTTGTTAACTTAAGTAAAGGGAAAACGTTTAAGCAAATATTTTATAAGAAGCTACCAAATAGGTAGGTACACCTTTAACGTTATTGAAAATAGAAACAGACCGGGTACGTTCAAGATTGGGAGCGGCAATGCTATTGTTATTATACATATTCTAATTTACAATTTACTCACTTTTTTCAATAGGTAGATATGTAAGTACAGTGAAAAGAGAGTATAATGTTTAAATATAACAGAGGTTGGTCTAAGACAATTAGCATGGAGCTGTGAAGTGCGTGTCATTAAGTAAACGTGCGAATATTGACTGAGATTTTGTCACTGATGTAGATGATAAGTTGATCAGTAATCGGTATGGTACGGGTGTGGGAACTTCGGAGGGTTAAGCCGCAGTCTTCCGGGATGTGGCGGCTCGGGTGTCGCGCCCTTCCAGCCTTTCGCACGCATGCCCTGCGCGCGCTCGACCGCGCAACATCGCTCACTCACGCTTCTATCCTCTACCTTACTCCTTACAAAAAATAATACTCATCTTCATCGACATATTTTTAACGTTTCCAGTACGGCACGAAACTATTCGGGTAACTTCGAAATAGTATGGGAGATAAAATCACAAAAATATTATTGAATTCACCTATCAAGAAGACAACAAATTTTTCTATTTGTGAAAACTGTTTCCTCTAAGAAAACAAAAATAATAATGTATATAGAAAAGAACAATAAAAAGATAATTTTCTCAAGTCATCTAGATACGTAATAAAAAATTTGAAAGTTTCGGTGTAATAAATCATATTCTTTCTTTACTACTGATAACTACAAAATTAATTTTCTCGTTTACGATTCTTGCACATATGTTTCATAAGTTTGAGTAGTTTTCAGTACAAGCCCCTATGATTACACCTGCCATTATTAACATTCATGAACAAATTAGGTACTTACATTTAATTCAATCTGTTTATCTAATTTTCTATAAACACCTCGCAATAAAATATTTTTATGATCGTACCTATATAAAATATTGAAGCTCGTATCTAAAACTCGTAAACACGTAGCAAACATTAATTATGTCTAACAAACTTGCTAATTAACTTGATCTGCTAAATGACTTTTATCATTTAGACTAGAATTTGCGTCTAAGAGAAAAAACATGTATGATAAAAACGAGTTAAATGCTGGTTAGGTATGTCCATACTTGTTCGCTTTCAACTTAAGCGCTATCTTTAACTTGAGTCTTTTTATGAGACATGTGTTTATTGCGGCACATTGTGTGCAATAATGACTGCGTTAAAACTACTTAAACAATGGCATAAGCGGCATAACAAACCCAGTATTACGACTTAATGGACGCATAATTATTTATTTAATACATACTTTGACACTGATATACGATTGCACTCTCATATTAATTAATATGGTATGCTTTAAAGTAGTCTGCTGTGGCATAAATAGCAATAAACCGCAACAAAACATTAATATAATTATTACTATTTAGGTATTCGTTAAAAAATCGCTTCTTGCAAGAAAACATAAGTTGGATTTTAAACATCATATAAGACTTTAATAATAAAATGTAAGTTGTTTTTTTAAACGCTAATTGGTCATTACGAATACTCCAAGAAAAGAATACATAAAAATAAATGCTGGTACCTATTATACACGGATTAAAAGTAAACTACACGAAAAAAGCGTTTAAATGAAATAGTTTTGAATGTTTCCTTCACATTCGAATGATTCAAATTCTTACGCAAGGTACCAAGGCACTTCCATAAAACTACATGTCCAATGGACTATTAAAAATTCGTCCTTCAGTAGACGCTAGGGTGGTGACATGTAGTGAATCGTGACCTGTCCCGTCGCCGTCGGTCACGCCCCATTTACCGCGAGCCTCTTCGGACCTTAACTGTTCCTACGCTGCCCGAAGCATTGTTTAAATTCGTAGAATCGATTTAGAAGCAACACTTGTCACGATAAAAATCTACATTGATTTTATGTCCCCGTTACAGTGAGCAACGCCAATAGAAATAATTTAACGTCTCGTTTTATCCGCCGCCGGCTTCAAAGAATTCTTAATCGTAGCAAAAAGTGAAAATATGAACGAATGCATCTTGTTTGATACATAAAACATTGCAGTATTAATGTCTTACTTAAGAATGCTATGTTGCACAACTACTAGCTTGCGCCCAGCATCAGAACATTTATCGCAACTGATGTTATAATTGATAAAACGGCTGCTACTTCGTATGGAATATAAAACGCTTACATTTTACTAATGTGCCTCTATTCCTTTATGTTAAACATATACATTCAAGTATAATAAGTTTAAAAAAACAAATAGCAATAGCACCCAAATTATGTCCGCTTCAAGATCCTTGTAGGCGACTAATTTGGATACAAGTATTATGTAGTTTGACTAGATGTATAATTTGTCTAAGTGCACGCCTAAACCGATGACGTTAGTATATTATAAATACCACAAGGCAATGAACGGAATAAAAAAGAATCATCACCGACCAATGAAATCAATTAATCGAGTTCGAACACAAAAAATTAACGCTCGGCATAGTTTTATTGGCGCCGAGTTGATCACTAAATGCTTTAATTTAATATACGAGCATATAATGGGCCTGTTTTTCTCTGTCTCTTTTTCATCCCATGTGATAGAGCGAAAAATGTTCCTGCCTTTAAATATTTATGACTATTCATTAAATTCTTTAGGTTTAGTATCTTTTTATTAAGTGTGGTATTATTGCACTTGTGTTAATTGTCTTAATCATTCCACATAAGGACGCTAAAAAAATTACAAATAAGTACGTATTATGTTAATTGGACTTGTAAATATTAAATAGGTACCACAAAAATGTTGAAGAAATATCATCAGACAAATGAAATCAAATGTGAAACACTGACATAGAAATAACACGGAGGCATTCCGTCGTGGCTGGCCATATGTTAAGGTACATTTTTTTAAGATTGACGAAGATTTGAACATTTAAGGGGAGAGCATAAGGAGCGGTGGATGGTCGTGCGCGATCCGGCCTTGACCGCGACCAACAAAGAGCCACGACCGCAACACAAATACCTACACAAAGCACATTAATTATTTATAAGATCCAAATTAATACTAAAAGACTCGGATCGTACAAAACGCCGGAATAAATGAATAAACATCGAAACAAATTGCCTGCGACCGCGGGAGACTCCGTCGGATATCAGTGGTCGAGCTTTTGAAACAATGAATGCTCTTTATCGTTTTAGGATGACTTTAGGTATCTTTTTTGTATATTTACGGCTTTTATTTGTTGCCGTCATAAGACGAAGGCCCATGATCGATTTTAGATATTAACTTTCAATAAAATTTATAATAAAAAAATATTCTTTACTACTACTACTACTTTAGACCTGAATTTTCTAAGGCCTCAAACGAAACCTCCAAAACCGGTAAATATTAAGTAATACCTACAGAATTTACGCATGAAGCAAAACTTATTCAAACATAAAATATATGTAATCAAATTTTAATATTTTTAATACCGTGAATCCTTTGATGTGTGTAAGGATTTAATTCCTTTCGAAAACTCGTGGATCCTACTTAACAAGAGGCTATGAAAGTAGGATTCTTGAAGAGCTACATTTTGGAAAGTTCCGAGTATGTGACGTGTCATCGACCGAAGGTCACAAGCTCCCACGGGCATCACTGTTAAGAAGCAACTAATTATTTACTAATTTACTTACACAACAAAACACAAGGAGGTTCTCATTTTAAAGTTTAGATATTTAATATCAGTGAGAGAATCAAAGCTAAAACATTTTTTTTATTTTATTGAAAAACATGTGCATTCTACAATTAAACAACCACTAAGTAAAATATTTAGACTAATGTTTCAACTTGATGAAAATCTTATCACTAAATAGATGGAAATCAGCAAAACCGATCAGTGGTATTCCGATATTAAATGTAACTGGTGTAATTGTTTACACAGTTTTACCTCTTATTTGCATTTTGCACCTGAGACATGTATTTACTATTAATATAATTGTAACTATTGGCAGAGAATTAATGACTTCGTGTAAGACGTAATCAATACATAGTATAAAACAAAGTCGCTTTCGCTGTATGTCCGTATGTATGCTTAGATCTTTAAAACTACGCAATGGATTTTGATGCGGTTTTTTTTAATAGATAGAGTGATTCTTAAGGAAGGTTTGTATGTATAATACATGCATATTGCACCCGTGCGAAGCCGGGGCGGGTCACTAGTCGTAAATAAATAGAGAGGACCTCTAATCATTAAGATATACACAAGTCTGAACAACACAATTATTAAAGTTACATAGAAACGAATCCTTCACACTTAAATGAAATGCGTAAGAACCTACGTCTATTTATACATTCAGCGACCCGCTAAACTTTTTGATAATAAATAAAGAGATAAGGAAAATTAGTTATTTGATAACACAAAATATAAAATCAGTATTGTTGTAATTAAACCATTAACTTATTATAATCGAAGAATCTGAATCTGTAATGCATCGTAAAGCGTGAAAACATTAAACGATTAGATTGGACTTCTGAAGTCCTGAACACTAAGTCAATTATCTGCGAAATTAATTAGAACTATGCGAACACGCTGGAATGCCTCCATAATATCTAAAAACACAAGCATACATATAAATACGCGCTTCTCTCATCGTTATGCCGTATACATATATATAGATATAAGTAGCCATTGAATCACCGGTGTAATTATAGAAGTGGGGGATTGGCTGCGATGCGGCCGTGTGCGCAAGAGACGATTATAGTTTTCTCGTCGTGTGTGAACGAGAGGGATGCTAACAAGAGGCTCGTTCGTCCGTTTGATCGACACCGCCGGGGCGCGGGCGCGGGAAGCTGTCTGAGGTGCATTCTTCTTGTAAAGTTCAACTATATATTTGGCCGGTCCCGAAGCTTGTAGCCCACATTGTACAGTTATGTACCCGTAATTGAAAAGCACTCTGCATGCCCATGCGACAATTTTTAGCACCTTGTCAGCGTTAAACGTAAACTAGTGTAAACATTTTCAGGAAAACCACATTTTTCTTTCGGTAGCGGCACGTAGGCACTACATTAGTGAAATATATCTAATGTCATATTACAATAACATTTTGTCATGTATTTCAGTAACGATTTAACACATTTGTGGATTTTCTTTTCGGAAAATCCGTCACCATCGTAAATGAACGAATAATGGACAATGACATAATCTTTTTACTTCGGAAAGAAAACAAGCAAAGGCAATGTAGCACATTTACATGTTATATATGACTTTAAATTAGCAAAATTGTACTAACTTTTAACGTTAATAAACATGATAATGACAACCACAAAACAAACACGTTTTCCAGATATTTTAAACAAATTTGAGTCATTCAATGTTATTAAGACCACCACATTATACATTTATTTCGTATATATGTGGAACTAGTATGAACCAATAATATTGTACAAACATTGTATCGGATTGAAATAGTTCTCATCAATAGGGCTACGAACGATGTGTCGCGCCGTTCATACAAAAGACTTAAACGCGTTTGTGTGCAATACGATAGGTAGCGCGGTTATGAAATCGTTTGTTAACGTAACAAGTATTATCTCTCTGATATTATTTTATTAAATAGATCTCTTTTGCATAACACATTTATTTTTATTAAAAATTGAATATTTATCAAAGATGATCAAATAATGAAATACGTATAAATATTACTAAAGGTCTTTTTATTTTACGCATATTTTAATTATTATAGTTTTTGCTTAATACTATATATATAGTAAATTAGAAAAGTACCTGTCTTGACGGAGCAGTGTATGTACGATCGACTCTCATAGTAGACCCAGTCGAAGCCGGCTTCCACTGCGAGTCTCGCGAGCATGCCGTACTTGGAGCGGTCGCGGTCACTGGTAGTGAGGTCGACTGCGCGGCCCTCGTAGTGCAGAGAGTTTTCTAGATGCGAGTTCTCCTCGTCCCAGCCTTCGATGACACGCAGCCGCACTCCAGGCCATTGGTTCATCACGCTGATCGCCAGAGTGTTCAGCTTCTCTTTGCATCTCTGGAACATTACACCTTTAAACTTCAATCTTTGCTTATACCACAGCCATAAAATCTCCATATGAAACAATGTTATGCATAGAAATACTACATTTTGAATAACATTTACGTAAGAGAGCACAGACCTGACTCTAGCATCTGTACCTATAACTCCTTTCGCCCAAAGATTGTAGACGCCCAGACATAAACAATGATTCAACAACGCACGCGTTTACAACGTTTGCAACGTTTACAGAATTCAAAGGAACGCGAATATCCGCGCATATTGTAACAATTTGTGCTCCACGTGTTAACAGCCCTGAGCAAACATCATGATATCTAATATTTACATCGCAATTCGCGTCGACCACCTAAAAGGTCCGTAAGTGGAGTGCGCACTCAATGCACCTCTAAGAAACAATATCGACGCTCTAAAGACATGCGAAACTTTTTGTTTACACCTACTAAAGAAAATCCCAATAGAAGTGCTAACAAATCGACAAACGCCGCCGCCCCAGCACCAACGCCTCACAACACAGGATGTCGGACGTTTGTCGTCAAAGAATAAATCAAATTACACACGCTGCACAAAAGGATCCACACGATTTGTTTGTGAACGAGCTCCGCGGGACGAATGAGGGAAATGTCAAAATATTTATAAAGAAATGCGGACAAAGCTCGAGGCACCGCGTGGCGGCTTTGTTGCGCGATGTCAACTCACTCTATGCAGATTTGTGTGTAAAAAAATCCGAGATTGACGTAACGAATCGAGGCTAGGAACCGGGCCGGGCGCCCCGCCTGGCCGGTGTATCCGACCACATTCATACGACAGATAGTTTCAAGCACCGTATATAATTACTTCGACGAACGTTTCAACCGCCTAATAAAGAGTTGCGAGAACTGCGACATATTTAGCATCGTTGGCCATGCTTTTATTTTTTGACATTTCACGGCATCGAAATTCCTCAAGTGAGAGGAGATTACATTTTTCTTGTTGCAAATAATTTAATGTAAGTCTTATTAAATGATGTCGTATATAAGTATCTAACTACAGGATTGACAAAGACATCGGCGTGTAAAGTGTGGGGGAGACCGTTGTGCTCGCTCAGGAAGCTCAATGTTTGCTTCCCCGCAGACGTCTCGGTCCGCACTAAAACAATCGAATGCTAAATGCTTGTACAAACACTTGCTGCATTTAAACGTGGGAACACATCGCATCGGTGGCGCAATTAAGCATCTCTCACCATGGTAACACCAACATTCTTTCTTGGGGAACCTTAAACAGAATGAGTTAAATTGTATCTTGAGAAGATATATTTCTTAACCTAACATAATGCCAGTTTTGTATAAACTGTAAGCAGGTACTGGTTTGTACATTCATAGAGAGTTAGATGGAGCATTACTGAGATGGGCTTGGAGGGGCGAGGCGACATAGCAGGCACGATAGGCTATTATAAATTCATTATGCATATTTTTAGTAAACAAGCTGTCGATCACAATGCTCACGCGCAGCGGGGAGCCCTGCCTCCGACACCTCGCCCTGTCCCGACCGATACCTACGTAGCCTAATATCACGATTATCATCGACTCGATATTATACTCTCACATATGTATACCATGAACTTACACATCCAATAAGATTCGTATATTAAACCAGTTTTTATGACCAAGTCAATTTACGTAAATTTATTTTCGCAAATTATCAAATTACACCACATCAAAAGCTCATATTCAATTATATTGATTAACAAAAAATATAACAAGCGTATCGAATACCTAAGGTCAAGTTTTCAAGCGAAACTCAAAGCTACCTGAACCGGTGGCGACCGAAGCACTTGCGGACGCATAATGAAGGCCGCTCGATGGAACTGAGGTAAAAATGGAATAAAAACTCTCAGGATCATCGCACTGAAACTGCGGCTGTAGTAACGTGAGAACGCCGAGTGCTGTCTGCGGCCCGAGACTGCGCTTACACTTGCACGCACGGGAATTATTAGATACCAGCGCAACCCTAAATACCACTTAAACTACACGACGAAGTAATAAAATATTACACCGCTAATATTTTATCTTTCATATATTATCTAAATGGTGGTTCCATACTCTTGGAGTAGCCGACGTGGCATGGCGCATCACCATTCGCCACCTTGTCCTAGTAGGGACTTACCGCTAATTTATAACCTTCCTCCGCGACCATAACAATATATTAGGATAATTAAATGGCTCTTTACATTCCTTAACACATAGTTTTTTGTACAAGGCCACTGGAGTCGAAAAGCCGACCAATGCTGACTGGTTTTTGATGTCCCGTTTTTTGTCTTTTTGTGGAAACCACAACAAATAGTTTAAGGGCATTTTTTATGACACCGACCGTTCATTTTGTTCACGCGAACCCACAAGATCTCTACACGAGGGTGTTGGGTAAGGGTTCACGCAGGCACCGTAGACATGTTACCTGTATCCTGTATCGCAAACTATGTATGAAGAATGCTATTTCTATAATTGACCTATGAACAATGTATCTACATGTGTATAAAATGTGTTTTCATTCCATTAACTATCATAAGATTAACATTGTAAACATTTTAAAAAGTGTAAACATTGAAATTTAGTGCCGGGCCAAGTACATTTATTATTGTCGCAGATCTGTTTAGCCGGGCCGACGACTTAAACGGCACACAAAATCATTTAAGCTAAAATAAGACCACTTAATGCTTGATTTTTATAGCCTGCCTTATTTCCCACCACACTAAAGCAGGTAGGTATACTGGCAAAAATGACGCGTTCCAAAAACGAATGGTTGAGTCAAAGCTTAATAACCTTTTCGATGCTACAAAGTACAAATTAGGCGGCATAATATCCCTTGTATCAAACTAACACCTTGTCGTTATGGCAATGAAATATTTTTTTCGGATTGGTGGATGGCAGTGCAGGGAGGGACCATGAATGATTTCTCACAGATCGTTTTGTTTAGTCACAAATAGCCAGAGAAACCGCAACGTGTGAATCACTAGCCCAGGCGGCCATTTTGATTTTTTTTTTTTTTGTTTTATAACCTGTATTAGATTGACTAGGTAATTATATGGCTACAGATACAGTCCAATAGTACAGAGCACGACCTGTATTGATTATTTTCCGAACTATAAAAGTTAGGTGCCCTATATCTCCAATTCCTATCTAATTATATAAATATAATAGTATTTATTTTCATTTAAAAGCCTAGAATTAGTTTTTCCTACTAAGTCCCTCGAGTCCCGCACTGGATTATATTTATGATGTCTACACGTGCAAGTAAATTCTATAAATGTTAGCTTCTCATAATTCCTAGTGTCGTACTAGCTGTCGAACACGTCATAAATATGCATCGTGTGGGTGCATCACCTGTCTGTCGTGTTTAAAGCCCTTAATGTTTGTCCACGAAAAATATCACCCTTTGTTGTCTTAATGCCGCTGTCGTCAGTGCAGCCCGAGCCAAGCCGCGCTAACACATACATTCTTCTTAATTCACTCACAAGTACTCGTCTCTAACGCACTATGAAATGTTGCCAACTATAATCGCCTCGACTCGTCAGCAAATTTGTGAGCAAGAAATCATCCTGAGAGGTACTTAAACATTTATCTCTTACTTTATATGGAATATCAACCTTTACAAAATGATCATGTCAATGTCGATGGACTATAAAGGTGGTAGTAATATGATTGATTGTTATTTAAATAGGAAGTGATCAAAACTCAACGATAGTCCTCAATTAGGGATTCAAACAAATAAGTTTTACCGGCACTTGTGCTCGTTTCTAAGAGGTTTTTTTCCCATTGAGGGCTATATTCCGTATGTAAAGGCGTGCTAACGAACACAGTCCACAAGGCTTTTAAGGAGACGCGGGTGCCTTTCACTATGTTGGAAAAAACTTTTGAAACAAGACACCGATATGCGGTGTTTGCTTGGGCCACAGACCTCTGTTAATGAAACGTTACACTTCATTCACTCAACTGGAGCACCAGACACAAGATAGTTTACTTTTGTACCTGTGTTAGAACAACCTGAATAACAATTATCTACATCACCGTTTGCCTCCGAGCCGCCGTCGTACATGTTTGTTACATTATAACTAGTCGCTTGTCGCATTCTCTCCAACTTGAATGCGTATTGGCTTTGTGATTAACATAATGCTCCTTTGAATTCACATGTGCATTTCGTAAATCCTAAAATCGTTACTAAAGCAAGTACCAAGTAGATGACAATGGGCCATCTTATTTACAAATAATTGGTTCCAGTCGTGCTTGGCACCCTTCTTTACCCCTGGGGCCGATCTGTTAAGTTCTGTCTTATGTTACGTTATTGTGTTTACTGTTGTTAATACCCACGAGACGGATGTTGTACTATAATTTATATTATTGTGATCGCTAAGTCTGGCTGACGCGAGGTCAATGGCGGAGTCAATGAGAGCATGCTCACTAGTTGCAAGTCATTCGAATGAGCGATGGAATCCACGCTTCCGACATCGATCAACTTCGTATACTTGTGCTTTGTTTTCACCGATCTCTTTGCATAAAAGTTCTATTTATACTACTATATTAGTAATATTTATTGTGTAAATCAGAAATAGAGAAAAGATTAATTAAGACGTAATTAAAAATCTATAAACAGATACTATTGAACATTGAGTATTAACAATACGTCGACAGATTAACAGGTTTCTTTATAAATGCATAAATACTAAAAAACTGAATACGTGATCTACTTTCCGACCAATCAAGTTCATTTTGCGTCTTAAAGGCTTATAGAAAATACAAATCAGCAGTTTAGTATAGTACCTAAGAGGCTCGTAACTACACACCTTGCCTGTCTGCTACATCGTCGTAAATACCGTACTCGCTAAATCGCGGAAGGCTATAAACATTAACTGGCGTATCGCGCTAATTTCCAGCGTCAACCCTCGTCGACTTGATAACTGCTGTTGATCGATTTGCATCCGTAATTACGTCACTTTTAGCGAGCAGGTGATGAAAACGCGACAAGTA